TCCCTTCCTTTCTTTTTCTATTGTTATAGGTGTCTCTTTCAGATCCCAGTTCATGTTTTCTTGGGGGTGGTATTTCCACACATCCATTTTTGTTTCATATCCTTTCCTTTTTTCTTTAGAATTCTACAGTCTATCTTCCAGCTATCGTCCAATTTATTAATAGAGCCATGTTGGCACATCTGGGAAAACCCGAATCTGAAAGCTTCCCGGTTTTCCACACCTAGTTGAAAGTTCAAGATCTTGCCCCCACACCCACAAGTCCATCACATGGTCCAAATCTTCCACTGCCATGTTGGCAGTTCCACTCATCCAATTCCGGTCAGGTGCAAAGACAAAGGATGACCTTGGCTTTCTAGAAAGAATTTGATTGTGGTACATAGCATGTGACTCCTTACAATCCCCCCTCCCATTTTCCCACAATAGAAAATGTATAGCAGAACAATAGAATTGTGGCAGGCCAACAGGCCTGACAGTTACCTATTCAAACATTTGCAAAAAAAACAACCAAGCTCAGAGAGACCAAGGACCTCACAGTTCAACACTGCAAATATTCTCTTCTATGAATTCAGTGTGAAGGAGACTCAGACTTTATTATATCCAGTTGAATATAATAGACTTTCAGCCATAGGAAGCACAGCTTGAGATGCTACAGAGTTGGAGTAGTCCAATGATGGACAGAAGAGATTGCTGAGTGTTTTTTAGCACATCACCATGAGTTTCATTATTTACTCCAGTTGACTAACAAGGTGAAGAACTGACTATGTTTGGTTTGCCAAAAAAAATGCATGGGGGGAAAAAAAAAACAAAGAGGGATTTTCACAAAAAAGGTTTTACGACCTTGTTTCTGATTCTGAAAGTGACAAATTCCTGGGCTGTTCATTTGCTCAGGGCATCTGTTCTTTCATTCTTCCCCTCTGCCTGATTAATGGAGACTAGTAGGTCTCTTAGGGTTCTAGGGAAAATAGTAAAAAGTCAATAAGCCTGAAATCTCTGCATTCACGGGCAACATTGAGCTTAGAGCTGGGGTTGATAAGCTTTTGATTTATTAATATTATGGATTGCCCTTTGCTTTTATTTGGAAGGGGGGGCTTGGTTAGAGCTTCTACTAGACGTTTGATCCTTAATTTATATTTTGACTCGGTATGGTATAAAATTGCACCATCCATTTTTTGGCAGTTGAATCACTGAATTACTTGACAGTTTGCTGTTTCAAGAATGAAAAAAAAAAATGGGGAGAGATTCCAAGAACAATAGGTTATCTACATCTGGCTCAGATAGACCAGTATTTTGATAGCTTCACATTTATGTATACTTATATAAGGTCTCTTAACATAAGAATATATTGGGACTTGCAAAACAGAGAAGAGAAAAGAAATGAAGTATCTATAGTTTAGATTACAGAGGGTGTCATCTGTATTTTTGAATGGTAATTATTCGACGTTCCAGTAAACTACCCTCAAAGCTTATTTTTCTCTGATGTTGGAAGACATTTATAGGTCTTTTCTGAAAATGCTGAATTGCTAATGCTCTGTTTTTCCCTCCAGACAACAAAGAGCTTTACCTGTCAAAAGCTGTTCACAAATCTATCCTTGAAGTTAATGAAGAAGGTTCGGAAGCTGCTGCTGCTTCAGGTAAACTTCCTAGAAGTGTAGACTAAATGTCATGCTCAGCTTTTTAGCAAAAAGGATGTATTCCAGAGGTGGGTTCCTACCAGTTCGCACCTATTCGGTAGAACCGGTTCGTCAAATGTACCGAACCGGTTAGAAGAGGTTCCACCAGTGGACCCGGA